GTACTCAAGAACGACGCAGGAGCACAAAGTACCAATGAACTGGCCAGATGACTGGAAGCCACGATGGAGGGCTCGTCTGAGGACGACCTAGAGAGATTTGTCTTTCCTTCTTTAACATATTATTTGGATGCCTTGTTTTGACTCTATCAGCCGTCCTTCTTGCTGCCCTTTTCTGTCTCATCTGCTTTTTGCTATCGTTTCCTCATTCCTTTCCTTCTCCAGAATCACAACAACTCTTACCGACAAACCTTTTCAGTAGTCTCTAAACTGGAACGTGTTTATCCTGGCTGCACAGAAGTGAGCGTGCACAGGCGTCGTTCAGAGACGTGCGATGTGTTCTGGTCTTTGGCTCAGCTGGATCCTGCCTCATGTGCAGGCTCTGTCACACACACACACACACACACACACACACACACACACACACACACACACACACACACACACACACACACACACACTCACACACACACACACACACACACAGAGTTGAGACACTTGTGGTATGCAGATGCTCTGAGGTGAACTTCCAGGAGCTGTAGAAACGCATCGTGTTTGCCTCGAGGAGAATTTGGATCCAAGATGTTTTTTAAGTGAATGCTTGGTGAGCAGATTTCACGCGAGGGTTCTGAAACCTACACAGCCCCTTTGTGCCCTGAACAGAAGTGAAACGTGTGCAGAAAGAAAACTGTGTGTGTCTGGAAATGATCAAGAGACAGAGACTTGTGATGCTCAGGAGTCATCCAGGTGAGAAGAGGCGTTTCATTTGACAGGGTGAAGCTGAATAAATGAAAAGTGAAATCTCTCTCTAAGATGAATGGATGCTAAATCAGTCACGTCTCCTTTCTCTGCTTGTGTTGTGAAGTCTTTGCGTTATTTTGGTGGGAGCATTTTCACAAAGATAGCTCATAACACCTTGCTCTTAAATCTTCATTTGTGTCACAAAGACAGATGACTTTATGGACTGAAAACAACATCAAGGTGTATTTGAAAGTGTTTGAAAGTGTGCGCTGTTAGAGGTGAGAGGATGTCATTGTGTGGTGAAACCTTCACTCCTGGTGCAGTGTGTGTCCTCCTGCCTGTCTGTGCACTCAGTGTGTGTCCCCCTGCCTGTCTGTGCACTCGGTGTGTGTCCTCCTGCCTGTCTGTGCACTCGGTGTGT